CAGGCGGAGATCGCCGAGGCCGAGGCCGAGGCCGCGCGCGCGGCCGCGGCCGCGGAGGCGGAGCGGTCCGCGGCGGCGGCCGCGGCCGCGGCGGCGACGCCCCCGGCGTCCCCGCGCGAGGCGTCCGCGGCGGCGGCCGCGGTGCTCGGCGACGACCCCGGCCCGCCGCCGCTCATCGACGTCGACGTGCGCCGGCGCGCCTCGCCCGCCGCGAGCCCGGGCGCGTCGCCGAAGACGTACGCGGAGAGCACGACGGCGACGTACGCGGCAGGGCGGGAAAAGCGTGCGACATTCCCAACTTCAAAGGCTCCGAGCTCGGCCGTTTTCCGCTCGTTTCGGCTGATTTTGGGACGAGCGATCATCTCTCGAACGGTGTGGATTTTTTTTTTTGGAACGCGCGCGCGCGGACACTCACGTCGAAGCGACACCCGTTTCCCGCCCAGGTACGCGGAGAGCACGCCGCGGTACGCTTTCTACGACGCGCGGCCGTCCGGGCCGCCGCCCCAGCCGCTGACCCCGGCGGGCGACGCGCCGCTCCTCTACGACGACGACGCGGGCGGCGACCTGCCCCTCTTCTGCGGCTGCGGCAACTTCTTCGACGTCGCCGGCGGCGTCACGTGCGGCGAGAACGAGCCCGAGGCCGAGAACCAGCCCGAGGCCGCGGCGGACGAGCCCGCGGACTTCCACTCCTGGCTCCGCGGCGTCGCGGGGCTCTAAGCGGATTTCCCCGTGGGCTCTAAGGCGACCGTCCCTTAGTCGTCGTCGGCGTCCTCGCTCGCCTTGCACTTCTTGCGGTCGATGGTGATGTCCGCGTCCTTGACCGCGGCGATCATCTCCTTGAGCGCCTTGGCCGTGTAGGACGTCGTCCCCTCGCCGAAGCCGATCAAGGCGCAGTCGCCGCTCTTCTTCGAGTCGGCGCAGATGTCCTCGCGCGTGCCCGCGCAGCCCGTGTAGGAGCTCTGGTGGTAGGGGCAGATGCACGTCACGTTCCAGACGCCGTCGTACTCGCGGTCGTAGCAGGGCGCGCCCATGCACTGGGCCGCGCTGACCTTGCGGCAGTGGGTCACGGACGTGTCGAAGTACTCGTTGCCGCTGCTGTAGAGCGACACGCGATCGGGCGTGTCGTCGAAGTAGCCGTCGAAGAGCGTGCCGTCGTCGACGGCGGCCTCCAAGATGCGCTTCGCGGCGCCCTTGGACCCCGCCTCGTACTTGCGCATGGCCTTGCGGAAGATCGCGCTGTCGGCGAGCACCGCCGCGGCCCAGCCGAAGTCGAGCTTGCCCTTGTTCCCTGGGCGCACGGACAGGCAGCCGCAGCTCGCCGTGAGGCCGTCGCCGTTCTTCGTGCAGAAACCCGTGTAGCACTGGGCGAACTCCGTGTCGAGGTAGACGCCGCCCGTCGCGTCGCTGAAGAGGTCGACGATCTCGCTCCAGTCCGTCGACAGCGCCTCGGCGCCGGCGCCCCGGCCGGCCATGGTCCGCGCGCCGGCGACGACGGCGACGCCGGCGACGACGCTCCCGAGCAGCGCCGCGTGGGCGACGCGCCGCCACCGCGACGCCGGAGCTGGCGCCGGCGGGGCTGCCACCGCCTGGAGCGGCGCGGCTTCCATGCTGAAGTCGCGCGTAGCTGGCGCCGGCGGGGCTGCCACCGCCTGGAGCGGCGCGGCTTCCATGCTGAAGTCGCGCGTGTCTCAATAAAAGCAACGTCATTCAACGTCGGCCTCGAGCGCGAGCAAGGGCATGAGCGGCTAAAACATGATGGCCGCCTTTCTCGTCGCCGCCGGCGCGCGCTTCGGCGCGCGGGCCTACGCGCCGGCGCGCCGCGCCGCGCACGGCGGCGCGCCGTGGGCGACGGTGCTCGAGCTGGAGCTCGACGTCGGGCGCTGCGTGGGCGTGCGCCTGCCGCCCTGGGGCCTCGAACCGGCGGCGGCGCCGGGGCCCGGGTGCGCGCTCGCGGCGGAGCTCGATCCGGCGGAGCTCGCCTACCCGCTCGCCGGCGCCTTCTCCGGCGCCGCGGCCGCGGACTTTTACGGCGGGCGCCTCGCGCTGCGGCGCGCGCTCGGCGGTGCCGCGGCCGCGCCGATCCTCAAGTCCGCCGGCGGCGCGCCGGACCTGCCGCGCGGCGTCCTGGGCTCCATCTCCCACAAGCGGCCCCTGGCCGTCGCCGTCGCGCGGCCGCGCACCGGCGGCGACGTCGCGGCCGCGGTCGGCGTCGACGTCGAGCGCGCCGCGGAGCCGTCCGTCGGCGGCGAGCGCCTCGCGCGGCGCGTGCTCGCCGCGGGCGACCGCGCCGCCTACGACGCGCTGTCCGGCGCCGTCGACGACGGCGCGCGCGCCGCGCTCTTCTTCTCGCTGAAGGAGGCCGTCTACAAGGCCGTCGCCGCGGACGCGCCGGCCGCGCGCTTCCGCGACGTCGCGCTGGCGCCCGGCGCCGACGGGTCCTGCGCCGTTTTCGCCGCGGACGGGCTCCTGCCCGCCGGCGCGTCCGTGGACGCGGCCTGGCGGCTCGTCGAGCACGACGGCGCGCCCTACTTCCTCTCGACCGCGGCCTACCGCCGGGGGCGCTAATACCGCGGCGCTCAGAGTCTGACCGTCAT